TTTTTTTTTTTTTTTTTTTTTTTTTGTGTGTGTGTGTGTGGAATAGGATTGTCTGTAGCGTCTAGAAGAAGGCAGGTTATTTATTTATTTATTTTTTGAAGCTGTGCGTAATGCTTTTTATAGTTAACATTCTTTGTTCTATTATTTATGTTATTACTATTACTGTTTTTTTCCTCTCACTGTGATTACGTTTGTTGTTATCGTTATTTATCTTTTTTTATAATATCTTTCCAACTCGGTATCGTCAATACAGCCATTATCCTTACAATTAGATGTTACTTTGCACAGTAAAAAACACAGTAATATGAGTAAGGCATTCTGATTAAACATTGTTGAAGCAGAATGGATCTGCAGGTATCCGTTTGTAAGAAATTTTATGGTTGTGATAGGCGCCTTATTGCTGTTGTATTTTCTTGAAAAAAATTATTGGTTTTTTGACAGTTTTTGAAAGGACTAGTGACTCGGTTGAGAATCTCATTAAAATTAATTTTTGTGGTTCTAATCTTGGTGGTTTGATTAAAAGAATAATTTGAGTGTTTCAGGAGAAGGTTCTGCACCGTTGTTTTTGAAAATTTTTTGAGATAGAAATGATTTTTACCCCTTGAAATTGGCTTTTGCTTCATTCCTCACTCGCCAATCCCATAGCTTTTTCTTTAGTTCGGAATCTTCCTCTTCGCTCCGAAAAACTTAAGGTTCTTCTTCAAGTTTAAATCCTTACGCCTGAAATCCTTTACTAACGCATCGTTTGTAGTATAGCTTTCGCTCTTTGTGTACTTTTTTTATGTTCAGAAGCTCATGGCTTCTGACCCACTGTGGAAAGGCGCTGGCTGGTGCGTAGACATTTTGAAACTTATCGGATTATTTTAGTCTGCAGTCGAAAGTTTTGTATTGTAATGCGTCTTCTTCTTCGCTTGTTTCAATACTTAGGTAAATGACTGATAGCTTCAAGAGAGATGGAAAACTTGTGTAATGTGGCAATAATATTAGTTTATATATTTGGTAGTATAACTTTTTAAGTGGAAATTCTTTTTTTAGGTTTTGGATTGAGAATACCGCGTGTAGTTACCTGTGGATTTACATTACTCGTTTTTGAGCTTTTTTTCTATCGCAGCCCTTTCAGGGATTTTTCTTGTATTTTGTACAAATATACAGCGGATGGTCGATCTCTGTTTTTATTTTTCTAATGCATAAATTTTGTTTGCTTTGCACTCGTATTGCCATATATAGAGTTTCTTGTTATTTCCGTATATATATATATATATATATATATATATATATATATAACGTGTGTATAACATGAACTGTATATTTCTATTGGTACTCTAATTGCTTAGAACCACGGCACGCAATGGCCGAATCAGCAAAAAAATTAACAATTATTCTGAAAATATTATTTTAAGGATTCGATGCATGGCGCCGGTATAAGAATTTAGCAGTGCAGAAGACAGGCTTATTCAGAAAACCATCGCGGCTTGTTCAGTCTACGTCTCCTGAAGCCTGGGTTTGCGTTTCCTTCAAATTGAGTGTTTCATAAGTGTTTTACTTTTCACTTGTTGGCTTTTTATCGAAGTTTTGTCATCTTTAGGGGTACGTGATCGGAAAGCAGAAGGCTTTGGTGGCTAGTTACTTATTTTTTTTCATTTTTGTTCACTGGTTGTTTGGTTTAATCTTAATCTGAAGGTTATCATGATAATTTCATCCTTTTTTTTCTTTTAATTTTCCAGTTCAGATTTAGAAATGGTGGGAAATATACAGGTGACGAATTAGGTATGTGTAAGCGGCGGAACTCATGTGAAAATGGCGACTTCTTGATAGAAAAAGGCTAGGCGACGTAGTAGGAGTTACTTAGTGTTTTAAATAGGTTGTGGGCCGAGTCATTAAAAAACGGCACTTGAAATACTAGACAACCAGGCTAACTTCTTTTTATGCTGTCGGCTTTGAAGCGCAAAGTTGTTATGTAAGGTAGTGTAGTTTGAAATTTTATGATCTATTTCATTTCCTTACTGCTGAACTACTAGAGTAACGAAAGTTTTATTGGGCAGGTGAGCATTTTCAAAGTAATTTACTGTTTCCACATCCCATTTTTGCTCAGGTCAATTTTTTGTACGTTTATGTAGTCTCCTGCTTTTTAGGCACGATTCTCTAATATGTTGTTATTTTCCTTAAATTTGTCTGCTTTTATAAGCAGAAAACAGTTATGGTGAAATGTTATACCTCAGAGCAATTATTCCTTTAACTTTACATTGTTTACCAAGCAGCTTCCAGGTGCTCGTTAAGTGCATGTGGTAGCGGTTTTGTCACTTTGAAAGTTTGGACTTTACAAGTCGTTACTTTGCTTTTTTGAAAGTCTAGTAATATTTAATAGATACTTTCTTTTAGGAACTGACTTTCTTTGGAAGAAGGATCTTGTGTCATGGATAAATTCAACCAGTGTGATCTTTGTTTCGCAAAACTTCGATCTTTTAGAGACTGGTGTCCAAGCGACCAGCAGGGCTGGCTGCTACCATGTCTGCATGTTGTATGCTCGCTTTGTAAAGTTAAAAGCCAAGGTAGTGTTTGAAGTTTTCAGTCATTTTATTAAATAAATCAATCTTTGTTTATTGTGCTTTTATTTTTTTCATTCTTCTTTTCCATTCAAACAGCTGCTGTGTTTTTTGATGGCGGTTTTTACAAATGTTTTTGACTTATTGTAATTTTCAGTTCCTTCAAATCCCCAAAAGATAATTTGTCGGTTGTGTAGGACGGAGTGTTCAAAGCATCTTTTGCTACTTATTCCAAATACAAAGAGCTGCTTGTTGAGGTTCTTATCTTTTTTTTTCTTGGGTCATTGCTTATTGGGTTAACAGAAGCCTTTAAGCGTCACATTATTTCTTAGATTGATGCTTAAGTATGATTTGAAGGTGCGAGACGCGAGCGTGCCCGGAAAAAAAGGTGGCAACGTTTAAATGTTTGTCATGCAATGAACTATTGTGCCAGGAGTGCAGTTTTGCCCACCGACGTGTTACTGCAACTTCTAGCCATGTTTTACAACCTGTATATTTTACAGTCTTATTTATTAGAAAAGGGCTTGTGGTACTATTCATTGCAGTATATTTGTTGGTCGTCTTTAAATCTTGCATTCTGCTTTCTAGGTTGGCGAAATCTTAGCAGAACACTGCTGTTGTCCGCTTCACAATAAGGCACGGGTGGTTTGTCTTTGTTCATGTGGCTTGGTGAGAATCAGCTTTACAGTATCTTTGTCTTTTGCACATTTTTTTCCACCTTAGATCTGTTTGCTGTTCAAAATGCAATTAACTGTCAGATCGTTCTGATGACTGAGAGTTGCACAATAGATATAACATTTGAAGTCATTCATTTTGTCTTACATTTCCAGGCATCATGCTCCGAGTGCTTGCAAATGAGGATCCATGAAGGCCCTCATCATATAATTAGTCCTATATCGCACCTTGCTGCATCAAGTTCTGTTGAGGAAGAAAAAATCAAATCGTCATCAGCTAGAGAGCTAACTCTCATTGAAGCTACGTAGGAACATACGAATTAGTTACAAAGATAGTGTTGCCTAAAAGTTTTTTAAATGCATAATTTCGTTGTTTTTTGTAGTCTTTCCTCACTTGGTGTTCGAAAACAGGTCGTTTCGGACAGGATTACCTTCTTGAAAAAAGAAATTGGAACGAGCGTAGTTAAGGCATGCAATGCAGTAAGTGCTTTATTCAATTAATATTTACAGCAGTTTTTATACAGTACATAACGTGGATAAATTAAGATTATTCGTCGAGGATGGGACCTAATAAATACGCTGGATTTTGTGGAAAATGGCAAGATCAAAGAGTTTGATCATGTAATTGAAGAGTTAAAATGGCAACAGATACGTTTCAAAAAGGTAACCATTATTTGAAGTTATCTAGACGTTCTTTATTGGTTGAATGTTATCACGGAACGAGTGCATTATTAAACTACAAGGAAGTAAACGAGCAAAATGTGCTATAGGGAAGAACGCCATACATATTTATGAGTTATAACCTTTTGCTTATGCTTAGTGGTTGTGGTACAGGGAGGGAAATGTAGATTGACTGGACTTTTCAGTTTTGAAGGTAATGAAAATTTAGCGGTAAAGTTGAGGTCAAAAAATTGATCTAAACGACTTGAAGAAGACAGTTACAGAAAAGTTGAAATGTGACAGACGCAGCAAAATTTGAGGCGGC